TTTTCTATCGAGAAAAAGTTATTTCGCAATACATATCGTTATCGTTCTATCGCCCAGCTCTACTTTATACTAAGAAATTCATGCTCACATGGCAGCACTTTGTATATCTATTATAAGGTAGCAACTGTGCGCTCCCTCGGCTACATTAAATCCTACAATTTTGTAACTGAAAGCATGATCTCACTCAAAAATTGCAAAACAAATGGAAATGTGTTGAGCACATTCCGCGCTCTCGCTGTGACCCCGACTGTAATTCTGTGCGGCGAGTTCATTAATCCACTTCTGCACGTAGGAAAAATGACTTTCCTGTTTTCCACAACACGCCATCAAAGACAGATATTTCTGCACTTTGCAACTATAGCTCCATTTCTCTGTGTCCTATGCATGCACGGTTGTAAAATACCCCCTGTCACACTTTATTATTTATATTCTGGCACTGGCTAAATCAGGAGTGGGCCATGCATTTTCCCACGGGGCCACATGAGACACAGTGGAAAGCCGCACCAATAAGTTGAACTCAATTCTTTTCAATATTCATTTAAGTCTTTACAAGCCTATTGGTGCACCCCTCCAGCAGACCCAGCGTCTCTTGTGGCCCCTTGGAAAGTTAAATTGCCCACCTCTGGCCTTAAAACATACCCTGGTTTATGAACTGTTTGACTCTAAATGCAACCATAAGTTACTAAACGAACGACATGTTGTATTCAGTAAGGTTTGAAACTAGCTATTGAGATAATAAAATAATCAGAAATCATAAATCAGGTGAGGATTAGGGTTGTCTTACCATATATTAACTGGTTTAAGAAAATCCAACATGTTTCCCCTTTTAGACCACGAAACCACGTCCATCTTTTATATACTATATAGTCTATGATATAACATAAATTGTGAGTCTGTACTGCAGTGTGTCTTCAGGCCGTGAAGGCTGAACGTCAGAACAAAATGTTAAGTTCAGAAATAAGCCTTTGCTCTTTGTTTCTGATGAACTGGCTCCAGCGTCTGACCTTTACGCTTGACGTTTTAGACTGTTGATTTTCCCCCGTCTCACTCCACTGCAGCTGAACTACAAACATCCCGAAGAGGTGGTTAACTTTGCATTTAGTGACTCACCCATTTAGGCCTAAACGCACACAGTGAGTGATTCAGCACGCCGCAGGACACAGTTGACTCTAATAGGGGTTTTCCCCGTGAGACAGAGCCGCGGTGAAACGTAGGAAGATGTGAGGATTTGACTGACAGGTAATGAAAAAATAACCATTTTTTTTAAATTAACACTCTCACCCCTCTGTTGTCACTCACTGGTTGCTTGTTGCACTTTGACAGGTGATTTTCCACTCTGTGGTGTGTGACAAAATAACCCGAGCGCAGTCACATCATTTCACTCAAACGCAGGATGTTCAAAGAGTTCTTTCTTTTTCTATCCGAACAACGCCTCAGGGTGGATTTTTCCTTTAAAGCAGAGGGATACGACACAGTACATACGGAAAAGGCGTAGCTCTACCCTTATTCTTTGTTGAAATCTATCTCATTTAAATGATCTCGGCTGAAGCGCAGAAGAAATTTGTCTCAGATAACAAAAACGCGCCGCTTCTTCGTAAATCCGGAGAGCCGCTCCCGACTGCATGACACTCAGACTTTCAGAGGCGTGAATGGCAGGAGTAACGAGGAAGGAAGAGCAGAGAAACGCCCACACCTACTTACACATTGTTTTTCTCTCGCTCCTCTGAAGCTGAACATCTGGCTGCGATTGCTGTGGGGCATCACTGGCAGCACCTATTCGTCTCAGCGAATATGGATTATTCCGGTGCAGGCGGCTATGACAAAATAAAAACAAATAAAAATATGCATTAAAATTCAACAACAGAAAGCAGTTTTTGTGGGCAGATTGGCATCCTTATTCTCACTAAAATCTTAAGGCATGCTCTGTAAAATATATCGGTTTTATTGATCCCAGAAACTTGAACGCACGCAGACACACACACGCGCACACACACAGCTTAATAGGAACAGTCTTTGCCTGCCTTGCCTGCTCTGCTGTTTTTCCCAGAGCTCATCATTAAGTAAATGCTGCCTCCTCACCTTTGGTAGGTTAGACATGTCGCTGCAGTGACACTATAGGTGCCTGCGGTGACATACATGCAGCTTACGAACAGTAGCAAACCTCAAAACTTCTTCTTCTTCTTGCAGCAGTGTGTGCAAGAAAACATGAGAATTATAGCTAGTGTGACGGCACTCACACAGCGACGTGTCCTCTCCTTGTAGCCGTGCACCACACGGGGTATGAAACCATATGTTCGCTATGAACACAGGTTTTCTGTATTATTGTGATAAACTGTGTACATTAGAAAAAGAAGGAAAAAAAGCTGTTATTAGATGTATTTTTGTAGAGAACCCTCAGTTGAATGAGGCACAGTTTTTGTATCATGTACTCTGATGCTATTTTAGCTAGTAAACAAACCCCCACGCCCACCTACTATGTCCTCTTGTTGAGCTGTTGTGCACACTGTATGTTCTTTTAAAGGTCCGGTCATCAATTAATGGGTTTGAAAGGCATTATTTCAGTTTCTTCAGAAAGCATTTTATCCTGTCTTGTCTTGAGATCTGATAAACTAATATTTAACTGATTTGTTTGTGTAATCCCATTTCTGCAAACTCATATCCAATGATATTACCCCGCTAATATAATAGATCTAGTAAATCCATTGAGAAAAATCAATTACTCTGAAAATGGAAATAAATCAGTGGACTTGATATCAGAGTGTCTTGTTGTCACTGTTTTTCTCTTCCTTTGACTTGCTTTCATAAGCCCAGTCCATGAAACTGTCAATCGATACCTTTTACCACCACATCCTTGTAATTTCCCCTGCCTGTGAAACAATAAAGAAAATGAAGACAAAAAGAGTACAGCGCTCATTTCGAAAATATTTTAATCATTTTTCAAACTTGGATCGCAAACTAGGGGTAAAAGCATGCCTGGGAATTCATAGATTTCCCTCAGATGATCCGTGCTTGCTTTGGGACTGAGACCTTATGCATGTGTGGCTGTCTGTGCATGTGCCCAGAGGGCCCACCGACAGCTGCGACCATCATGTTCAATGACTAAAATAGCAGCAAAATTCAACATGTTCAACACCTGGGGCTATGTGAGTGTGTGCATGCATGCAGTGTTTCCATCTGCGTGTGAGCATGTTTAGGGTATGGAAGTAACAAATGCAGCGAGTGTGACGATTCAAGTTCACCTCATTACTGAATCAACGGTTCTCAGTAATTTGCTTCAGTGACCTTTAAAAACCAACAAAGAAACTTCTGACATTAAAACTCAACCATATGGAATTAGTTTCACAAAGAGTGCGTGTGATCTTTCGGCCCTGAAGTCAGCTTCCTACAGCCTCCGTGATTCGACTTTTCTCCCCGCACTTGGCAGAAAGGGTTGATGGATGTCTCGAGTCAGGCAGGCACTTTATGGTGAATGAGTTAATAGACTTCGCGGTGCATCAGCGGCACTACATTATGGTCCACTTCCTTTGCTCCAACCACAGAAACTACTC